TAAATTTGGGCGAAATAAGTTCACAAAATTATAATTTTTAATTTTAATTTATACATTAAATTATTATCAAATGGTAAAAACAATTTTGTAGACTTGTAACATAAATTTCAATTAAGAAGTAATGTGTAAGAAGTATTTTCTAAAAACTATATAGAAATATAATAATTATTAATTGATTTGGACCATAGCTATTTCCATCCTTATAGAAATATATATATATATATAATATTTGAATATAATTAAATATTATCTTCTTTAAAAGTAAATAGTTTACATCAAAACTTTTAGCAGCAGTATAGATCAGTTTGTATAAAGCGTGTTAAATTATCAAGGTCATGTTGATGTAATTTATACTGACGTTAGCAAAGCGTTCGATATAGTCTTTCACGCGATAAGCTTTGATAAGTGGAAAGCTTATGGATTTTATGAATAGCTGATGCATGTTTCTAGATTAAGCAAATATCAATTTAATTATCAGTATAAGTTAATTAATACCCATAACACAAATATTTAAACAGTAAGTTAAATCCTAACTAAACTTAAACATTTATTTGCAAAGATTTGAATAAAACATGATTTGTCTTTATCGATTTATTCTTAAACGTTTTTCCCCAAATTCAATTGCATATCGTGCAGACTGTTGCGATTTATTTCGGATGTCCGCCGGATAAAAAAATAATCGAACCGGTTAGCTTCTAGTTAATTTCCGTGTGCGTGTTACTCCATCAACCGCCCAAATTGCCTCTAAGAAAAATCCCATTAATTGTTCCCAAGATAACGCACTGACCACAGTTTTTCCACCCCAAATTAATCCTACACCGACAGAAAAAAAAAGTTCCATTCAGCATCAAAAAAAAAAGCTTTAAATCTTTACACGGAAAGGCTTTTGTAACAATTTGTGCATTGTTTAGGATCGTATAAAATTGTATTATGCTGTCGATTTAATTTGCGTAAAATGTATTTTTTTTATAGGAGTTGCAGAGAAATTTCATGCCACCGGTGGGGGTGATTGTAGGGATGGGTAAAGGGAGATGGTGTTGCGGCAGAATGGGGGGCTATGAAAATGGAGTTTTATGTTATACATTTTAAGAAAAAACATCACGTTCCTGTTCAGTGAAAGTACTGGCAACACGGAATTGTTCTTAACCCAAATATTTTTTTTTTCGAAGGCTTTTAAAAGAGGAATCGAAAGCATAGTGAGTCTATATAATTCGAGAAGACCTTGAGCTTTATAATTATTTACAGCAGTGATCAATACAGTTTATTTCTACTTGTTTGCATCGTTGTTTATGTTATTCTTGGAAATATCCATTACATTTGCATTTATTTACAATTACTGCTTGTAACAACTACAACTTGAATATTGTTATTGAGATGTTTAATTCAAATTACGTATTAAAATAACCTGATTACTCGCTGATAACAAAACAACATAAAACAATACAATTTTCATTACTATTTATAGATATAAATATATTTTTTTTTATATATTATTATTGAATTAAAGTTAGACTTGTAAATTACCTATTTTTTTAGTTTACTTATAAATAACATAGAACATGCAAAGTTTACTAAGTGTCAAAAAAGTATGTTTTTTCTACAATTATGAAAAATAATTAATAAGTTATTAGGTTTTTGGATATAATGTCATGATTTTAACAAAGATTTAATTTTAACATTAACTTGAACAAATGAAATGTATCAAAATTAATCATTTGTTAAATGAAAATCTATGTTTTACTGAAAATATATACAAATATGGAAAAACTAACGAACAAATTCGTATTTCGAACAATGAAATTCAAGCTAAATTTATTAGACAATTTATTTGATTGTTAACATTTTTTACAGCGAAAACTTATCAATTTTATCTTTTATCAATATTATTTGCTAACTTTTATCAATCGTCCACTGAAAGACTATTATCTTCTGCATTTAATACATTTCTAACATCTTCATCTTCGACATTTTCAAAACCTAATTTCTTGGGTATTATTTTCTTTTTCTAATGACTATTTCTTAGTGACTTCTTTCCAAGAACTATCTATTTATATGGAAGATTGCGAACTTTTATATATCCAAGCTTCATTAACCGAGGTACGAGAATTTACTTTGGTTTTTGGATATTGTGTCATGATTTTAACAAACATTTTATTTTAACATTAAGTTGAACAAATGAAATGTATCAAAATAAATCATTTGTTAATGGAAATCTATGTTTTACTGAAAATATATACAAATATGAAAAAACTAACGAACAAATTGGTATTTCGAACAATAAAATAAAAAGTCTTCCAAGTATTATATGAAATTATCGTATTAATTATGTTTAATAATATAATTTATATATAATATAAGTTTCTTTTTATAATTTTGTTAATAATTACCAAACTGTTCATCTTCAACTGAGTGAAGTTTTTTTTGATAGTTACGTGCAATATTTATTCACTGGAAAATGTTACTTTTATCCCGAAATAAGCTTTAGTAACCTTTATGTGACAGCACGAAATTCCTAGGGGCTTAATTACAATTCCCACGTTTTATTTTTCGGCGCCGAGGTTTTGTAATTAAACATATTGTCGGTGCCATGTAATTAACGCTCTGATGAAATTAAATAAATTGCGACATCTACCCTTTGCTTAATTTGCAAAACACCGGAAGATTTATCCGAGCCTCTGAAAATAATTGCAAGCCTGGACACAAACGGTATTAACAATTTTGTAATGTCTTCTACAGTTTTTCATATTTTTTATGCAGAAATAGTGTTTTGAATTTTTATAAAATTAAATATTGAACTTATTATTTGACGCTATAATAATCAGTTCATGTTAACGGGAATAGTGAATCACTGATGCAGGGGTTCTGCAGCAGTCTTTCAATATTTAATTTAACCGCACGTCAGAAACTTTGCAAGTTAGTTAATAATTAGTGTTTAATATAATTGAAAATTGATATATTGGAAATTGTCTTTTATAATTAAATCGTTTCAAAATGTGTATAAAATAGTTAAACATAAAATATTTCTTTATTGAAAAATAATAGTAATTCAATTTTGTTCACTAGATGTCGAGTAACAAGCGAATGTTGACGTTGGGAGCTAGAGATAATGGTGATACTATGTTTAAATCGACTTAAATCTATGTTCAGTTAACGAACAATTCGGGTAATAAACATTGATTTTGAACGAATTATGTTTGTATTATTCTCATTTGAAAAGTTTGAAAGTTGTTCGGATCTATCATGAGGTAACTTATTGTCTGTTTACTAAAGCTGCGTACTGTTAAAACTTGAAAATCGCATCCATTCTACTAAGATTATATTAAACCCAATTTGCTTAAAGTTTTCACAAATTCAAGTACATTTTGAGTTACAAATTGCTAACGTAATCTAAACATATCAAAAGTTAGAGTTAATTTAAACTATTTACAAGAATTGCATACTTTAACATTAAATATCTTGTAATTAAGAATATGTAAATTTATAAAAATCTTGAAATTACATGGTATAAGTTTATATGTAATAATAAAATATTTTAAAACATTGGCCTCGATTCAATCCGATTCCATTTATCTCCCCCGTGAATCAATGCGTTCGATGCATGACCAGACGCACTTGATCTACTGATATGAATGGAAAAATTATACATGAACAATGGGGGTTCGTACGAGTGGATTCGGCTCCAAATCGATTTGCATGAAAGACTTTTAGAGCACCCATGCCAGCAAAACATGTCCTCGACAATCTCGTGGCATTTAAACCTACTTGGCAAACCTCTCCTAACGCAGTGTCCGTTTAATTTCACGAGTTCATTTAACCTAATCCAGGCTTAACGACACTACATGCAATTCACGAAAGGTAATCCAAGCTAACTAATTATTGGACAAGTCGTACAAAATCCTTATATTTCCTCATACGAATAAATACAGTCATAAATCGATTAATTAATTACGTAAAATAAACGTAAAATCAGATTTTATAACATTAATATTAAATTTATTATGCCAATACGGAATTGCCTTTAATACTGATCACTTAATAATAACACTTCTTCTTAAATCAGGATTGATTTCATTAAAAAAATCGCTTTCAATGTCATTTAAACATCTTAATTAATATCTAGTTGTTAACATTTTTTACTGCAAAAAACTTATTCAATTTCATCTTTATGTTATTTGCTAACTTTTCTCAATCTACCACTGATAGACTATTATCTTCTGCATTCAATACATATCTAACATCTTCTTCATCGATATTTTCAAAAACTAATTTAGTGGATATATTTTTCTTTTTCTAGATGAATTTGTGGACTTTGATATATCCAAGCATCATTAACCTAGATATGAGAAAATCAAAAAAGTTACAAGTTCTGTCTTTTAAATCAAGAATAAAATTGTATCATTCTATGGAAATTTACATTACGGAAAAGTGTAAATGTTATTTGCTGTATCGAATTGTATTTGAATTTAAATTATTTATGTTTTTTATTTGTAAATTGTACTAAATTGCGATTTTTTTAATATAAACATTCATAAATTCCATACATATTAAAATAGAATCGTGTTGTGCACGGAAAATTAAATACTATAAAGTTCGTTTAATATGCAGATGTTCGTTGTTACATGGTTCGCGTTTGTTTCATTTCATTTTCAATTTTTTTTTTGTCGAAATTCAAATATAACCCGGAGGCAATATTCACCCAGCATATGAAACTGCGTATATCATAATTTATAATAACGTGAAATATTACGTGAAATTGCTCCAAATAAAATATGTAATATTAAATAATGATACTAGCAGGTTATTTTATTTACGTTATTGACAAATCGAAATAACGCGATTATGAAAAATTTTGATGAGTTAATCAGTTTCGGATGACCTAAAAAAAATAGGTTCCACCTGCAATAATGTTGCAGAGAAAGGAAAATAAATTACGAGCTTGCTAAGCGATTTTTTCCATTCGCAAAGTTCTTTGCCTTTGCGAGCAGTGTTCGGGAAACAACAGTTGCAGTTGCGATGTGCATCCATTAATTACAACGGACTGTTCGTTAAATATTATTATTATCATTTAGTAGAAGTGCTCGAACAAAAGATGCAACTTTCATTATTTCTAATTACGTTTCCGGCATTCATTTTTAATTATGCTCTGCCTGCCGCGATAGAATTGGATCCACAAAGGTAATCCTGAATTATTTATTGCATCATCCGCTAACATTGTTTGGTCCAATTAGTTCGAAAACGAAGGCGGAGGAGCTGAGCGGCTTAGACGATCATGGCCACCAAATGGAAGATGGGATTAAGGAGAAACGATGCAAAGAGTAAGTGCTGTTGTTTCGTCGTTGCGACGCCTCTAATACTTTTATCTCTCTTCAGGCTTCCGCAATTTGACTTTTATGACAATATCTTGGGTAGTCCCATTCAGAGCTTTCCTCTAGACTTGAAACGCAGAGACCTGCAAGGCGAGTTTATGAAGCTGAAATGCGATACTTGTCGGACAACATCATTCTGCAAGCTGGGAACGAAATGCGACAAGTGTGACAAAGTTTGCAACCCGGTGAAGATTAACGAACGTTCAGCGGATCCGAAAGATTTAGTTGGTTTGGCTCCGAGGATCAATGTTGAGAATGGATTGTCCGAGAACCAAGAACGATATTATACAGTCGGATCATTTGGACCTGGACCTAAGCAAACCCTATTAGCGAGACTACTGAATATTCCTTGGAACGCTAAGCTGGACCGACTGATTGTGCTTGCTAAAAATAATGCAAAGACTGCTCAATCTCTTCCACCTCATCCCGTTATCATAGACACAGCCCACGTTTTTACCGTCAATGATGGAAAACCAGCTGAACTAGATGTTGAAGTACATAATGTTAAAAACGATTTGGACGAACCGAGCAAACTCACCTCTAAATTAAACAAAGAATTGGACGCAGCCATTGAAACGAAAAAGAAAATTCTTCAAGACTCTCACCTAACTCCTGAAGAAATTGATAAAATCATAGAGCACGCTATCACACAAGTAATTAATTATAAATTTTAATCAGTTTATAAAACGTAATTCAATCTTTTCATTTTTAGGGCAATGACCCAGCTGTAATTATTGAAGGTAACTAACAAAAAAATGAAAAATATGTGAATTAAATAAATTTTGATTTCTTTTGCAGAAAATCAAAACCACCACGAAGACGACAATCTTGCTTTAGCTAGAGATTTTTCGGAAGAAGGTGTAAAGAAGAAAAAGAAGAAGAAAGGTAAAGGAAAAAAGCACGAATTTGAAGATGATGAAGAAACTCCGATCGGAATGAGTAATTTAGAAAACGGCAACAGTTTTGCTTCTGATGCTAACGTAGGCAACACACTTAATGCGAATACAAATTTCGAAAACAATTCACCGATGCGGGAATTTGATGAAAGCATCCCGCTTGTTGGGAAAACTCAAGACAATCTTGAATCTGTGAACGATGATATCTTGGAGAGTAAATTTAAGAAGAAGAAGAAAGGCCATGGCGGCTACGGATATGGAATGTATAGGGAAAATGAAAATGTAGAAGATATACCTACTGGAGATGAAATTATTGGTAGTCATTTAGAAGGTAATGAGGAAATATTAGAGAGTAAATTTAAAAAGAAAAAAGGAGGTAAAGGATATGGAATGTACAGAGAACATGAATTAATGGAGGATAATGATGATGATCATCAACAAATTATTGGTAACACAGAAACTCAATTGAGTGGAAATAATGGAGATATATTAGAAAGTAAATTTAAGAAAAAGAAGGGTGGTAAAGGCTATGGTATGTATAGAGAGAATGAAGAAATGCAAGATGAAGATGTAAACATGGAAGACATATCTTCAAATGACAAAAAAGAGCTCACTGGAAGTTCATTAAGGGAAGAAAATGAAGATGAAATATTGGAGAGTAAATTTAAGAAAAAGAAGAAAGGTGGTAAAGGCTATGGTAAAGGATATGGTATGTATAGGGAGAATGAAGAAATGCAAGACGAAGATGTAAACATGGAAGACATATCTTCAAATGACAAAAAAGAGCTCACTGGAAGTTCATTAAGAGAAGAAAATGAAGATGAAATATTGGAGAGTAAATTTAAGAAAAAGAAGAAAAGTGGTAAAGGATATGGTATGTATAGGGAGAATGAAGAGATGCAGGATGAGCAAATAAACGCAGACAATATATCTTCAGATGACAATAAACAACTCGTTGGAAGCACATTAAGAGAAGAAAATGAGGACGAAATATTAGAAAGCAAATTTAAGAAAAAGAAGAAAGGTGGTAAAGGATATGGGTATTATCGTGAAAATGAAAACTTTGGACAAGATAATGAAGATATGCCTAACTTTAGAAGCAATTACGAAAATGCTGCTTATCCTAAATCACCGGCAAACCCTCCAGTCGCCTTCGAAGTACCTAAACAACAATTTCACGAAGCTAATCAACAGTATCAATCAGCACCTGCTTACGCAAATTCACCACAATATGAAACTTATCAACAGCCACAGACTCATCAAGCAAATCAAGACTATAATGTAATCAGCGTTCCTGCTAAATCTCTACCAAAGCCTGTATCAGATAGCCACTACGCATATCCAGCACCAGCACAAAGTGTTCCTCAACCAGCTTATTCAAACTACCCGCAACAACCAGAACCTCCGGCTCCTGTTTATCAAGAACCATTGAAAACACAACAACCAACTTATACACAAATTACGGCCAACCAAAAACCGCAAGTAAATCCTTCATATACTCAGCCTGCCACATATCAGCAACAGCAAGAACCTCAGGCAAATTACCAAGTCCCTAGTATAAACCAGCCACCTCCACCTCCGCCTTCCAATCCTTATCCACAATCACAAATGCAACCAGCATATGCACCTGAACCAAATCAACCATCAAACCAACAGCAGCCTTCTTATGGCTATCCCCAATCACCTATGTACAACCATCAAAATTACCAAGATATGGTTCCAATAGAAT